CTACTGAATAAACACCAGCGCAACTCATGTTTTCCTGCCTTCACAGAGAACAACATCGGACAGATAAGTTGACTTAAGCTTATTTTGTGTTAATTGTTTGTCTTTTTTGTTTGTTTGTTTTGTAGCTGATGAAGGCCTCGTGGCCCTAACGTCCTTTGTTTTTACTTTTTTATCATTATTATTATTATTATAGCTTTTATAAAGCGCTACTTTCATGCTCAGAGCGCTTTGTAGACCAGTGGGGGATGGGGTATCTAGGAGTTCGTTTTCCGTGCTGCCTTTAGGCAACTCTGCCCGAGTCGGGTGTCGAACCTCGAGCCCCCTTCTAGGTAGCCAAGACAGCCCAAGATCAAGCGCACTTAGCCTCTCGACCACGCTTCCCACTTTGTTCGGCACAGTTACCTATCTGTATGCTTATTGTATATTCTATACAGCATTTCACCCTGCTGAAGAAAATGTTTGTTATTTTTTGAGTCTTTGAACCTATACATCGATGCATCTATATTTGTATTTGATGACAAAACTATTTTACAACCTTATCAAATAATGAATACCAAATTACCTGAGAAACCAATTAGGCTGAAAAATATAACAGCCAGTATTTGAATCCCTCTTATCATTCTGACTTGTTCTGGTGTGACCCTGATAATGTCAGATAGGATCGAATGTCTAATCATTTTATAATTCAGCAGTACTTCATATGGCGAAAATTCAAGGAAAAAAACCCAAAGATGACCCGATTAGAAAATGAAATTCATTTTTTTAATGTTTCTCAAAATAGAATCTAGAGACCCTATAAAAACAGTGCAAGTTATTGTTTTAAAGACTCTGGTCAAATTTCTAATATTATCTAATTGTGTGTTATTTATTTTTGTGCAGCGTGACCTAGAGTATCACAAATTCTGTTACTTCCTCTCTTCCCAGACTGCGTGTCCGAACAGTTGCTACAGTTTGAGAACATTTTTACATTCTTTATCCCCTCCTTTCCAATGATTTGGATTTCAAAGCTATAAGTCTGAGCTGTCTTTAAGATAGCTCCTCGTGTAAGTCTTAAGTTTAGAGGCCTGAATTATGAATCTAGTTTAAGAACTAGGTTTCTTTCTGAAGCCATTGGCTTGTAGATCTAGGTTTAATTCCAGATGCTGAAAGAAAGTGGCTTCGTGGGCTCATCTTTCATTGTTTTTAATAAGTGGAAGTCTTCATCCGAGAGTTTACAAATTCTGTTCAAGCATTATTCCTAGAGCAAGCCATTCCTAAACAAACACAAAAATGAGATAAATAACAAGAAATAAGCCAAGCGCAGTGAGACCATTCGTTCTAGACGTGATAGAGTTAATAAGTCTCGTTTTCACGTAAGTAAAGAACTTATAAATTCATTAATAGCGAACACAAAATAAAACAATGCAGGTTAGTGGCTGACATAGCCAGATAAATCTATAGATTTAGATAGTAAAATTATCCATTTGTTTTGCATTTTAATAATGGCATTTGAAGTTTTCATACCAGCCCATATCCCTGTATGTTTTTGTTAAGGGAATAAGTTAGCAAACTAAGTGACTTCCTCAAGACCATAGTTTTGTTTTGAGGTCAAACTGTTCTCTACCACGAATCAGAGAGAAAAGATAAGGGCACACAACGTCATGGTACACCCAAGTCAGATGGAAAAGTTTTCTGTGATTGTTTTTTCCCTTCGTCATGAGCTTTAAGTTATCTATTTGTGTACATTACAACACTGGCTCCATTTCATTCTAACGTTGTAATAATCTAAATGAAAACTTATCTCTGACATTAGTAGCACACCGAGCATGGATCCTCTCATGGAACTGTGATAAACATTCAATGAGATGAATATCTGGGCATTAGCTTTGCTCGGAAGAATGTCTCCCACACAGCAGTTACAACCTTTTCACGCAGCCGATACAGTTTGCGGTCAGCGGCGTCGTTCTCTCTCTCTCTCTCTCAGACTTTACTGTGTGATATTTGCCCCACTGTCTGTAAACATGGTTTGAAGAACTGCTGGAATAATTAACTAGTAGGTCACAACGTGAATTAATCTAAGAAATAACCAAAATGTTCCGCTAAATACTCAAAATGTGTGAAGTGTACTGTATACCTAAAGCCTATTTTTATTGTCCCATAGACTTCGCTTTAGTTGGAATCAACAGCCCGATGGAATATTATTTTATCCTACCTTAGACGTTACCTCAAAGGAGAAGATAATTACGTCCTAAGTGTATCCATCTGTCACATGCATGTTAATTAGTGATTGGTTCTGCTAAATCGTTGGTTTTCCTGGCAACCCATTCCATGTTCTAATAGAATTTGAGAAGAAGGAGATTTTGTATATTTTTATAATCGCGCATCCTATTCTAAGTCTTGATCTCAACGTCAATCATTGGAATATTATAGAGTCTAGTAGATCTATACATTCGTTTAAGTAGGATTTATCTCAGGGGGAGAGGCGGGGTAAAAATATTCCATTGTTTTTTTTTAATCTAACGTTTATTATTATTAAGAGAAAAACAATCGCTCTCTAAGTTGAATATATTGTCATTTTTTAAAAGTGTTTTGAATATTTTCTTCTGTGCCAAAATGTCTCTAATTTTATTTTAATATTGTTAATATTTGTTTGTTAAACATCCCACAGCTCAATATTGTGTCTGTTCTAGTTTCTTTATGTTCTTTTTTCAGATAGAGGATCCCAAACATATCTTCATAATCTAGTATATATTTTTTATATATATAATATGTAACTGGACCCTGAACATATACATTAGTACTACTAATTTATCGATATCACATGTTAATATCGTATGCAAAAAAAAACTATGGTTCCACCAGTAAGGAAATTGTCTCAGAATATCCTCTGCCAAGAAATGCATTCGTTAACTGACCAATAAGTATGCATATCCACGAAGATGCAGACTATAACTCTCAAATTCCTGAATGCACATGTGCACTTTCAACTTTCGATGCCTTCGAACAAGAATTGGCTCTACATTTGATCCCGTAACTGTAACAGTTCTGTAACGTTGTACATTTCTATCAACAGTTGGACTTAAAGGCTATAGAAAATCAAAATGTATAACCAAAAAAAACATCTACGGTACAATCAGAACCTTAATTATTTCGAATTGAATAGGCTACTTCATTACAAGCACTTGAAACTATTTGATATAACTAAAACAATACAGAATCATAACATGGGGCAACTAAAAGTTCCATCTACTGTATACAATAACATATCAACATTCACGGATTAGATTGATCCTGGTCAACAAACTAGTCGCTGACAGATATTTAATGATCGTAATTAAGTTTATTCTTTGTAGAACGTCTTTATCAACAGCTTTCAATTTTTAAAAAAAACTTGCAAAATTTGTAGGTCGCAGCTGGGGCTGCGTTAGCCACGTGTATGCTACACTCCTCAACAATCTTCCGACTCGAAGACAAGCCTTTTATTATTTATTTAGTTTGAAATGCTGCTTATCAATAGTTATTTTAAATTATATTGAGCTTATAGACATGTTAAATCATTTAAATGCATTCTTTCCCTTTCAGAACAAAAGTAAACATTTGTTTATTATTTGTTCAAGCAAATGTTTATTTTGTTTGCCTAACCTGTAAGACATGAAATACTAAATTGTAGTCACACTAATTATTTTCAAAACATTATTTTAGAATGTGGAACTATTTTGTTGGAGTGGCGGAGACGAAGGTGTAAGGATAATTAGAATTTATTAGAGTGAGCCGTCAGCTAGTCCGGAATATTTGTGTTTGCTTCATAGAGAAGTCTGGCTAATAATTATCTCTACATATACACAGATAAAAAAGATCCAGTTAAAGTTTTTGTTTTAATTATATTTCAGGAAGTGTGCAGTTAGCAATGAATAGAGTTTAAAAGGAAAACTTTTAACGAAGACAACAAAATCATAAGCCCAACCAAATGTCACTTTATACTAGTAAGATAAGATAGGACTTCTAGTCGGCGGTAGACTTGGTTGAAATGTCTATTGATTAGGCATGACCAAATCTTTCTAAAAAAAATCTATGTAGACAAAACGTTCTATTTCTAGGTTGGGATAGAAATGAAAAGGAATCTCAAACTGCTTCTGGTAAAGACCCAGAGAACCCATTTTTTAGGGTCTAGAACTTTGTTGACAGATATTTCTAAAACTTTTCTAAGTAAACTTACCCAGCGGGATGTAGGTCAGAGCCCAGGCGCGAAGCGTATTTTGACGTTCTCAACTTCAAAAACATGGCATTTTCAACGCCTTTCTTGTCTTAGAAATGTAAAAAAAATAAATTAAAAAACGCCGAGGGTCAAATTAAGTTTAATAATAAAGAGGCAGCACTGGCTAAAATATTATGCGAAGGACATTCGAGATAATATAGCTCACGGACGTCTGTAATGGGCGTGATCTTGGCGTTAAGTAAGACGTCTCTGCCGCGAATCCTTTTTTTTTTCCACAAAAGTCGTCATTATAATAATGTGAAATAGTCTGAAGAATTTCGATTTTTTGAGACTAGAAAGTCAAGAAAAATCACATTAGCAGACAATTTTTTAAATGTCTTCTTCATAAAGTTTTGAATCAATACCGTAACATAATCCTCTCGCGAAAACGGTATACATTTTAGGTCTTATTAGATGATGAAAGACTTATTTTAAATTGTTAATGATGTAATTTTACAAATGTTTAGATATGGATTAATAACTACAATGAAAGTAACTTTTTTCGCCCCCCTTTTTTGTAAGGATGTTGCGACTCCCTTGAGTGCACCTCATGCCACAGTTTGAGAAATGCTGATTGACATTGTCATCTATTCAAGATGCTTAGCACAAAGCCAGCCTTTGGCTAGAGCTAACAAACAAGGATTTTAAAAACATAAATAAACAGCAAGAATGGAAATCCAAAATATAGATTTTTTATTTTGTCTGTATTGTTAGGTTTTATTATGTACATGCATTTTATAGTAAGATAATTGCTCCTACTCCCCCCCCCCCCCCACCTCTTTTCACGTTTTTTTCTTTGACCAGAATTCATAATTCTCCACAAGCAAGTTTGAACAAGAAAAGTTTGTTGTGTTTTTTTTTTTATTGTTAAAAATTTTGGCAGATGCTCGTTTCCTAATCGTATATCTTGCAATGGAGAATTGTAAAGAAAACTATATAGTGAGAATAAATCTACGCTATTTGAGAAGCACTTACACTAACAGAATGAAGAAAATGTTAATAAATTAATCTTTGACAAATTTAAGTGTAGTTTGTTTTTTTTTAAGATATAAAAAAATTTTAAAAAATACATTACTACAGGGTCAAGGTCACCCAAAGTTTTTCTATGAAACTGGGACAATTGGAACATTTGTGATGAAGCTGATTACAAAGAAAAGTTACCGTTTAAGAAAGTCGCAGATCACGAGAAAAGAATTTAAACAAAAAAAAACCAGGAGATAACGGATTCATCTGTGTCAGAAGTGGGGCACAATGTGTAGGTCACACTTGTGGTTTTCCTGGCCATGTAGCATTCTGTTCCCTTAAATTAGAGCTCTATAAAATGTGGTGAACGTTTCTAAGTTGGTACAAAGTAACATTGTTTTCATCTCATTGGCTTGCATTGTGTTCATCTTGACTAGCTTCAAAATAAGAACTGAGGTGACATTGCCATTAGTGTGTGAGTGTTCATGTGCATGTGCATGTGTTCGTCTGAGAGAGTTTTTAAGGAGGAACAATGGCCTATGAAAAACAAAAATAAAAATAGCTGAAAACATCAGTTTAAAAAGAAAAAAAATGCATCGTTAAACCTAAGAGACAACATTTACATTACATACATTGACTGATTCATGCATATAATTAAGGATCATGACGGCAGAGTGGAAATATCCATTGGCTGATAAAGTTCTTCCCACGAAATCTAGACGAAATTACATTATGATCTACATAGAATAAACCCACTATACATACACCTCTGCGGACTCCCGCATTTATAAAACTACGAATTCTCCTATTAAGAGAATGTCAGACAGATCTACTGCCTCAACAACCCATTTAAACAACTCGTTGTGCAAGGCAGATGAGAATGTCAGACAGATCTTACTGCCTCAACAACCCATTTAAACAACTCGTTGTGCAAGGCAGATGAGAATGTCAGACAGATCTTACTGCCTCAACAACCCATTTAAACAACTCGTTGTGCAAGGCAGATGAGAATGTCAGACAGATCTTACTGCCTCAACAACCCATTTAAACAACTCGTTGTGCAAGGCAGATGAGAATGTCAGACAGATCTTACTGCCTCAACAACCCATTTAAACAACTCGTTGTGCAAGGCAGGTGAGAATGTCGCGCTTCTTTTCCATAGAACAAACGTTCAGAGTTTAGCAGCACAAAGCTGGCTGGATGAAGGTAGTCAATATCAATTTTTAAAAAATGAGACTTTCCAAATTATTCTTTCTTCAAGATACTTTGGAAACAGATCTTTTAGTCTTTTACTAGTTTGTAAAACATAAGGCCTCTCAAGTGAGAGTGAGGATTTTATTATTAATTTTTACATAATTAACTTCAACATTGAACTGTAGTTCAATCTGCATATGACGCTATCAAGCAAAGGGCCAAAACTGATTTAAATATTTCAAAACAAATGATGAAGCTGATTTTAAAAAAAAAAAAGACATTAATGATTTCGTTGCATTGCACGCTGGTAAAAAAAAATGAACTCCACTGCTGAAGCATTATGTTCTAAAATAAAAACTCAGCTCCAAAAAAAAATGTGAATTTAAAATAATTTCAGCTTTCTGTAAGGTGAAGTAAAGACGATTGTTAGCGAATATTACATCTTCTATTTAAATGCTTAGTTCATCGACGACCGATAACCCCGTGCACTTACCCGAAAGTTAAAAAAAACCCAGATTTGTTATTTGTCTCCTCTTTGGTAAACGATGTGTAGGTCTATATGCAATGTTACCATGGCAACAAAGACAAACTGTAAATAGTGGACAAAACATTGCAACTATAATTGGCTACGCAAAGCTATCTAGCTTGATCTAATTTAATAGGTTTCATTCATTCCGTAATGACTAGAGTATTTTATTCATTTTTTTCAATACTTAAAATTTCTTACACTCAAAAACATATAATATCACTTCAAAAAATTACAAAAGTTATGGTGTTACGGCATCCTTAAAGTTCATTGGTGATGACAAAATGAAGGACAATTGAAAATCATGCTTCTAGCAACAAAAATGCATCACATTTTTAAAAAGCAATTCATATTCTGGTGTAAATACTTAGGAATACACTTTTAAATCGACTAAGTGTAAATATTAGTAAATAAACCCAGAATATGCCAGATTCTAATTAATATTTTACAATATTTTTCTTACAGCCCTCATCTTTCAAATGTTTTTTTTTAATAAAATGGTAGTAGGCCACATAGATCTAAATGAAGGTATTGTTTCCATATGTCTCTCTGTAATATTGTTTATATATATATATATATATATAATTCCTTACTTTTTAATGCTTATATTTCATTAAAATAATTGGAAACAAACCAACAGGCATTGATAACAAATGCCTCTTTGTTCAGAGAAAAATGAAGGCAAAAGTTGTGGCAATAGCTAAATAACTTAGACATTTGTTAAATTTGACACTTTACGTTTTAAGGACTACTTTCGTCTGGTATTTATGGGAGGGGGCCGTGTTTTCAAGTCCTTGCATCTTGGGATGTGACGTTCAGCAGCCGTCTCGTTGAACTTCCGGCCACAGTGAGGACATGGAACAAGGTCAGGGTCAATGGTGCGAGGAGGCGGTGCCAGATTTCTTAAGTCCCCGCCTTCTTTCTCGATCTGAGTTACTTTCTTGGCGTATCTGAGAGACTCGATGAAGTTCTGATGCTGGGTACGCCAGTTAGATTTCTTCTTCTGTAGAATACATAATATAGTACATAATATTAGCTTTGGAACGGCTTTTTTAAAATTAATTACTACACAAAAGCTTTCCAACATAACTTTTTTTCCCCTCAAAGGTAAAGATAAGAAATTTTAGACAAGATTGCTTGAGACTATTAAATCTAGTCACGTGAGGTACGCGTCATGGTCCCGAGAGAGAAAAGTAAACAGGAAGTTCACTTACACATAGGCTTCGCGAATATTCACGTTTTTTTAAACAGAAGATTGGAGGTTGAAAAAGTTTTACTTAATCTCTCTGCTCGAGAGATTATGCTGTAAGGACCTATACAAAAAGGGGAGACAGCTTATATCGGAATCTTTCGGTTAATAAATTTCAAGCTTCATGTTAAATACTTTATAGGATCTATAATCTATTATTAAAATTAAATTATGTTGTGTGTACTTAGTGAATGAAAATTGTTTATTTCGTAAAGAGGATTGCTGTTCTATCTCTACCTAAACAAATATCTCCAGGAAACATTGGGACATACCAACCACCTAACCCCTGGACCCCATCGTAACACGAGAATAAAAAAGAGTGTTGAGACAAAGTATGCACTATGTGTAAACACCATTGGAGTTCTAAATCTTGACATACAATTTGCACGAAATGTTGAGACAAAGTGGGCACTAAATGCAAAAACAAAGTCTGCTCTAAATGTTGACATAACGTCTGCTCTAAATGTTAACATAAAGTGTGCACTAAATGTTGCACTAAAAATGTGTATACGAAAGAGAGAGAGAGAGAGAGAGTAGGGGAAATATGCAAGAGATTTTCTAACAAAATTCTTCATCAATATTTTGAACACTCAAGCGCATGCGCATTACATATTGTACTATTGATTGCAATCTAGTTGAGTAAACTGTCCATTGATCAATAGAGCAACATTGACTACTGCTGTTGTTGACAAATCAATCTGTGATAGATAATTCTGCACTGAGTGCATTGAACATCAGAGTGTTGTTTAAAGCACTGGTTCAAAACATGAAAATAGTCCTTATACTACAACAACAAATAGACTGCTACCCCTACATCTGCTACCTCTACATCAGCTACCTCTACATCTGCTACCTCTACATCTGTTACATCTACATCTGCTACCTCTACATATACTACCTCTACATCAGCTACTTCTACATCTGCTACCTCTACATCTGCGACCTCTACATATACTACCTCTACGCCTGCTACCTCTACATCTGCTACCTCTACATCTGCGACATCTACATCTGCTACCTCTACATCTGCTACCTCTACATCTGCGACATCTACATCTGCTACCTCTACATCTGCGACCTCTACATCTGCTACCTCTACATCTGCGACCTCTACATCTGCTACCTCTACGTCTGCTACCTCTACATCTGCGACCTCTACATCTGCTACCTCTACATCTGTTTTACTCTGTACCTAGAACTTTTTTTTACTTTAAATTTTGAATTTAAAAAGAAAAAAATTAAATCATTTAAAATAAGAATAAAAGGACTTGATGTTATATAAGGATACGTTTAAAAAAAATATATTAACAAATGACTGGAGTTCATAACTATTCAAATATTTTTTTTTTACTTACAGGAGGATCTGGCCTTTTAGCTTTCCCAGCATATTTGGCTAGTTCCGTGCCTTCAACTCTTTTCTTGGAGGAATCAAACTCCTTCCTGGGTTTGCTGGCCTTCATGCAGGCTTTCTCGTGTTTTCCCAGACGATCAGGTGCGAACGAGCGACCACACAAGCTACACTTCTCCAGGCGGCCCACCGAGCCATTGGCATCCGAAGACGCCGCTGCATTGAGATAGTAATTAGCGTCAGATGTCGGCGGCTGGTTGTCATCTTGGTCGTGCACCGATGCCTTCGATCTGGAAGGGTTAGGATCGAACCTCTTCGCAGGGCTGCTGACTTTATCGGGTGGACGGGGCTGAAATTTCTTGAACTGCTTTTCATTTTTCTCTTCATCATCGAACTCATCTTTCAGTCTTTGATCTATTGTCTTTAACTTATTTCTTTCTTCCATCTTTGAGGTCCTCCCCTTTCTCTTTTGCTCTTCAACCACCTTCCACTTCGCTTCTCTTTCCATTTCCAATTTTTCATCTTCCTCGTCTTGCTGCCGGCGCCGCGCTTCCTCTTTCTTTCTATCGTCTTCCAATTTCTTAAGCCTTGCTCTCTCGGCTGCCTCTTTCTTTTTCTGTCGTTCAATTTCTTTTTTCTCCTACAGTACATACGACATAAAAATTCAAACATAAACATTACTTACTGCATCATAATTAATAAATTAAATGTATCATAAATTATATTATTCTAAAGATACCTAAGCCCTAACTCTTCA